TGAATGTGGACACAGATGGTTATGGCTTTGGTGTGGGATTCTGATAAAATTTGCTGCCAATCTACGTGCAATTTACGATCAATTTGCTTACTAGGAAGTTTCTACATATGCTTACACTATTTAAATTTAGAATTGAATGTCTCAAAAACAATACGATAAAGATTATCAAAATTTCTATTGCAGATTGTTAATTTAATTAACTTTTATATTATTAGGTGTACAAATGAATAATCCAAATGTTTTTGAGCAGCTAAGAAATTAATTTTAAAATCAATTGATTTTCCCGCTCTTTTGCGGTTATGTAGTGTTGACATATAGCTGTTAAAAATGATATTTAGTATGGCGAATGGTGATGAAGATTTCATTATGAATGGTTGTGAGATGTACTGTAAATTAAAATCAAGAATGAGCAATCTTATGGCATTAATGGTTTGTTTCAGGAATGGTTATAATGGCGTTTTCTATCCCAATAGAGGTGGAAATTAAAGTGGATCGTCCATTCATCTATAGTATTATCAAGTTAAATGGCAATGGGGACGAAAGAAGCATTCTGCCTTTGTTCATTGGACAAATCATCGAACCGATTGCATAATGTTTGATTGCTAACGAAATTAAATGTTGAGGAACATCCGCGTGGGAAAAAGCATTTAGCATATTTAGCATATTATATTACATATAGAGTGCATTCGGCGAGACGTTATTAGCATTATAAATGCAAACGTTACCAACACTGTTCGTAATAAGCCGATAGCGCGACAGCGATAACATAGCGTTAGCATTTCCGAGTTGTACCACGTCGTGTTGTGTTCTTATGTACTTCTTTGAGTTAAGATTGAAAGTTTGTTATATCCGTTTTATGATACGCAGTACGCAATTATTCTTGAAATGTATTCGGGAAGTTATTGGCCTACCACTTCTTAATGCGCAATGAAAACAGAAGAGAGCAAAGAGATTTGATAATGATATTAACATTGTAAATACGAGAGCTGGTAGATGCGTCATCAGGTGATAGTGATAATAATGAATTTATAATATTATGAAAAATATTAAATAAAAGAAAAAAGTATTCATAGAATATCCAATTATGTAGAAACAAGTGCCGGTGTTGGTAAGTCAAGACTTGAAAGCTCATTTCAGATATCATTTGTGGAAATAAAAAATGTCTTTTTCCAAAGATAATATATTTCTGTCAATGTGTCTATAGTATAGAAAATAATTCTGTCTATAGTATAGAGAATAATTTAGTTGATTTGAGAATAGAATATGTAACTGACAAACAATAAGTACACAAATAGCTAAACATGTGCAAACAGATTTCGAGTAAAGCCTGTTAAAAAATTTTTAATGGCAGAAAAACTACAAATCTAACATATGGTTCTATTCTATTACATTGTGTTGCCAAACTACTGCCAGAAATGCGACAGAATCTGTTGACAGGCAATGCGAGTAGATTGGTGGCAGAAACCGAGCCTGTAACGATCTGACGGCAGATTGGTGATAAAAACCGAGTATATCTTGCTGCGGGCAATTTAACGGCAGGCTCTGCACAGTTTCTGTTGCCAATCTGCTCGGATTGCAGGCTCTGTCATTAAAATACGAACCGAATACGTATACAGAAGGTATGGCTTTGGTGTGAGATTCTGATCAAGCTTGCTGCCAATCTGCGCGCAGTCTGCGATCAATTTGCTTACTGGGAAGTTTCTACATATAGTTGCGTTATTCAAGTTTTTAATTATATGTCTCGAAAACAATATGATGAAAGTTATCAAAATTTCTGTTGCGGATTGCTAATTGAATTAACTTTTGTATTATATATATATATATATATATATATATATATATATATATATATATACGTTATAGATTTATCTTATATTTCGTGAAACACTTGAGTCTTCTTAAACATCTTGATTTGTCACTACTGAACAACAATAATTTATTACTGATTAACCAAAAGTAATATCTTTTTGCAAGAAACACTGAAATATTTATAATGGCTACGAGTTCTGGAATTGCATCACGGAAGATTACTAACAACACAATTTTTAATTTTATGTCGAAGTCAATTTTTTTTTATTTTAAGAAGAAGTCGTTAATCACCAACTTATGAATATTAAATTTATGTAAAGGCTGTATATTCTAATGTTAATAATATAATAAATAACATTATTCATTTAAATTGCATGTAAAACAATGGGATTTCATTGTGAATAACTGTGAGACATACTGAGAATTAAAATCAAGAATAAGCAATTTTACAATATTAGTGGTTTTTTTTAGGAAACAATTATGGCCGTGCATTCATCTATTAGAATCTTAATGGAGAAAATTAAGGTAGATCGTCCGTTCATCTATAATATCATCAAGTCAAATGCCAATGAGAACGGAAGAAGCATTATGTCTTTGTTTGACGGGCATATCGTCGAACCGATTGAATAATGTTTTATCACTAATGAAATTAAATATTAGAACATTCACGTGGGAAAAAGCATTTAGCATATTTAGCAGTACATATAGGGTGCGTTCGACGAGACATTATTAGCACTGCTGGTAGATGATGCGTCATCGAATGATAGTGATAATGGAGAATTTATATTATGAATAATATTAAATAAATGAAAAAAAAGTATCCAGAATACTCAATTATGTAGAAACAATAGTACCGATATTGACGAATCAAGATTTAAAAGCTCATTTCGGATATCGTTTGTGTAAATAAAAAAATGCCCTTTTCTAAAGATATATTTATGTCAAGATGTCTACAATATAGAAAATAATTTAGTTGATCTCAAAATAGAATACATAATTGATAAACAATAACCAATTAACGCATAATTTAGGATGCTTCCTGAAACTTTCGAATATCTTTTGTCTGTTATTGAGCTCAAACTACAAAGAGGAAAAGAAGCTTACGCCTACAATTTATCCTTACAACAGTGTTTGTTAGCATTGGCTGTTGGTGAAGATTAGCAGACGTTTTAACAAATAACAATGAGTATAAAGCGTTTGCTGAACTAACAAAACAGAAACTAACGAAAATAAAGAACATGTGCTCGCATTATCTGTTAGTAGGCTTTATCGCCAAAACATGAGCTGAATGCGGACATAGATGGTTATGGTTTTGGTGTGGGATTCTGATCAAATTTCTACAATCTCTACAATTTTCATAGTTCAGGAGAAATATAATTGGTAATTATTCCAATCTTTTAACTTAACAATTAAGTCATAAAACAAAGTTAAGGTCACCACCTTATGTCTCCCTCGAAACTCTAAAACTTCGATTAAGATATCTTTATATTTTTATATTTGTTTAAAATGTATTATTCAAGAAATATTTGAGGTCACCATTTAAAATATGTTATATTTAACAATATCTTTATGGTGCTTGTAACTTTATATAATTATTATGTGTAACAGAAAAAGTTATATACTAATAAGAAAATTAGTAGTGCATGAACGATCGAGTATTCAGCTGCTGCTCACTCTTTTTTACTCTTTCTCCCCATTTCTCCGCACCTTTTTTTTCCCCACTCTTTCCTCATTAGAGAGAGAAAGCTGCACGGCACCTATTATTGATCTCTTTTTATCTAATCTTCACTGCTTTATCTAATCTGTCACAGACATTGATGTAATGATAGAGGCCATCATTTTCGAGGAGGAATTAACGATAAGCCATCCGTTCCTGTATACTATAAGAAAAACAAACCAGGATGAAGAGACAAATATTTTTGAAGTGACATCAATTTTTACTGGATATATTTTTAATCCGAAATATTGAGCTCTCTGCAAATTCTACTGGAATTTAAAGTATTTCTCAGAATTGAGTGTGTAATAGGAAATCTGGAAATTAAAATTGCGAAATACATATATGTATATATTACCAAAAAGATTTTATTTTTACTTAATGTAACTATATAACTTTTATACAAAAATGCAATAGCAAATATATATATATATATATATATATATAGGGTATCTCTATTTTTAAATGCGCTCGTGTGAGGGTAAAATAAGTTAAACTGAATAGAAAAGTCATGTACTATTTTGCAAAATTCGCAATAGTTGATAAGGAAATGTTTGGAAATGCAACTCCCACCGAAAACCACGTTTTTTCTGGTGATAATCAATAAAACAACTCATAAAATTATATTTATATATGTATTATATAAGAAAGATAAGAGTAAATAGACAGCTGAATACTCGATCGTTCACACACCAGAAAAAGTTATATAGTGATGAGAAAATTAGTAGTGCATGAACGATCGAGTATTCAGCTTCTGCTCACTCTTTTTTACTTTTTCTCTCCATCTCTCCGCACCTTCTTTTTCCTCACTCTTTCCTCATTAGAGAGAAAGCTACACGGCACCTATTATTCGTTTCTTTTTATCTGATTTTCACTGCTTCTTAAAAAACATGCTCAGTCTATTCTTACTATGTCTATGGGCAATAATAGACAACGTTAAATTGTCATAAAGTATGATGTTAATAGACGGTTGTGTCTATCGTATATTTCATTTCTAAGGAAACTAACTCGAACAGGCATTAATGGAAACATCCAATATTAATGTTTAAAATAGCTTCGCTCTTCATTGTTTTCTAATTCTTTCCTCGATAATATTTCAATTCTAATGTTTGGACACCTTGGACGCAATTTTTTATTTTTTTCTATAAAAATTGTCGAGCGCACACTTAGATTTACTTTTTCTTCGAGGTGATAAAAGTATCGTCGAATAATCCCAAAATAATTTTATTTATTTATCTATTAAGGAAGATATATTTATTATGAATTAACAAACATTGTAAACATTTTGTATGTTTCTTGTATTCTTATTACAGGCCACATTTAGAAATGTGCTTTACACAAAACTATTATAATCTTATTATAGTCGATATTGCTATACGATAAAATACAAATATGTAATCATCTAAATCGTATATGTATTCTAAATATGGCCATCATTTTACACACATATATATATATATATATATTTGTGTGTGTGTGTGTGTGTGTGTGTGTGTGTGTGTGTGTGTGTGTGTATATATATTTTTTTTTATTTATAAGAGTATCACGATCGCGTTAAAACACTCATATTTCACCATTCAATAGCTTTTTGTCGAATAAAAATTCTCCCAAATGTCCGTGCGTTTGCATCATTTTACCCAACGTCGAAATTTTACCGGCAAGATCGCGTTGGCCTTTGTATTGTTCATCCAAGAAATCAGAAGTGAGGTAGTCTACCAGCTGTGGAAGATCACAATGTATTAATAATAGGTATTATTCCTGTAAGATTTGGACTTTTATCTTCATATAATACTCACATGATAATCATTGAAGGCGTATGTTTGAGGATTTTCGCATTTTACGATTATATCACGAATGTTGTGCGTAACTTGGGATTCTAAGTTCAAAGCGTTGATGAGAGCTTCATTTCCACTGTTCCACTCTTCGCGTATCGGTTTCTGAATAACAAAAAAGAAGCAGATATGATATTTGTAGCAAAAAAAAACAATTTGTTATTATTATTAGTTATGTTTAAAAAATCAATTTTTTTATAATCTCTATTTAAATATTCCAGAACATTCGTAAAAAGCCTATAAAATGGAATACTCACCAAAGGAAACTTGAGAAGCTTACTAACATCGCTCGTAAGTTGCCCACGCATTAATAAATATTCAATAATTTTTAATGCATGCTCTCTTTCTTCGCTTGCACTTTCAAAGAAAAATTTGCTAAATCCCGGGCGATTTATAGTATCACGTGCAAAATGTGCACCCTAATAAAGTAAAACAAATATCAATATATATTTACCAATTTGCATTTAATTTATAAATTATATATATTTTAGTAAAATATTGAAATAAAGTAAAGTATTTAAGTATCATATTTGTATTAAAAAGCTACATATATATAAAGTTATATATTTGAGTGATTATATGTTAAATTAATACTATTGAAATAGACTCTCGGACTTATATATACCATTGCAAGGTAAGTCATGGCAGCTTCAACTTCAATTTTGACTTGAGACTCCATGATTTTTATACATGGATCTACCATATCCAGCCATGTTGTTGGTATATCTGCAGGTTTCAATGTACCTAAAGAAAGAAATATGATGAAATATAAAATACTATAATTTTTTACATTTATATTTGAAACAGTAGTATATATAACAGATATGATATTGATAATATATAACAGTAGTATAGGTGCCTAATTTTCATCAGTGATATCTTGAATATCTCTTAAAGCAAATGAAACATCATAATCCTATTTGTCTAAGGTTCTATGGTTGCGAATGAATACTTTATGAGATATTTTATATCCTGTCCTAGTATTTTATTTAACATAAAAGAGATGAACTATTCAGCAGAGTTCTTTCTTCAATAGTCTCACCTTCATATTTTTGTAGGAATGATATATAAGATAAATTGCTGTGAGAAAAACATAGATGTATATATATATATATATATATATATATAAATTCTATTGCATTTTACGAAGTATTAATGTTGAATGTGTGAAAAATTAGTACCAAAAATCAATATCATCAATCGATTCCTTTTGTTATTCTATGTACTAAAGT